AGCATATTCGTTTTTAAAATGCAGGTGTTATCTGTCACGGGAGTTAGAAAGATTTTAACGTAGGTGTTTACATTATCTATTATTTTCTAGGCCATAATGTGTAGTTTCAGGTTGGGAGAATAAAGTGGACATTACAAAATATCTGTTAGAAAATGGGGGGCACTGGGTGTGACAACGTGGGATACACCAGTCCAGCCCGGAAAACTCAAACCCTCCGGACTGCGCCCCCGCTTGTCTCTGATTCTTGGCGGCCCCAACTCTCTGAGAACCCAACGGCGAAGGGCAAAGGGCGAAGGGCGAAGGGCGAAGGGCGAAGGGCGATGGGCGAAAGGCGGGAGACCCGGGCGAACAAAGCTGCGGCCGCAGGGGGCGGGGCGCGAGCACCACCGAGAGGGCGCGACCTCGCTCCTAGAGAGACTCGGCCACCTCCTGGTGACGCACTTCCGGCAGCGCCGCGGAGTCACCTGCGGTGGAGGTGAGTGTGGGGTTGCGGCGGCGTGGGCGGCGCCGTGGTCCTAAGGCTGTGGGTACGGTCGGGACGCGCTTATATCCTAGGTGTAGCTGGGTCTCCCGCGGCCTGCGCTGCTAGGAGACCCATGCTCGGGGAGGCAGCAGGGCGGTGGCTCAGGGTCTTCTTCCACCCTCTTTGACTCCCGCTTTGATCTCTAGCCGAAAACTTTTCGTCCGGTGGAAGGCGAAACCTGTATTGTGTTGCTGTCTCAACCCCGAGGCCTCAAGCATTTAGCACTTGATCTGTTCTGGGAAGATGTGTCGGTGCAACTAGAGGGTGGAATGATTGCGCGAGTGAGGCCACCAGTCATGTGACGTGTTGAGATCTTGCAGAAACACTTACCTATATGCATGTCAAGTTTGGACTGTGTGTCCCCAGGCTCCTGACATAGGTCATGAATCAGGGCCCAGCGAGAGCGCAGATAAAGCAGATCCCCTCCCAGTCAACCAGGAGCGAAAGAACCCTGGCTTCTGGAGGGCACTGTCTCTTGGAGCGATGCCAGTCCCAAAAGGTAACTCAGCCCTGCTCTCTGGCAGTGGGGCGACAATGACTTGGGAGTGACTTCTACAATATAATTACGTATTTGCTTAGTTTTAGAATTCACATAAAATAGTGTCAGAATCGCTAATTCATGCCCCAGTAAAAAGCAAATGTACTACCTGGAGTACAATATTTAGAGATCTTTTTTTCTTTAACCTTACAGTATTTAGTCAAAATATTTCTTTACAAAGTCACTTAGTTCTTTCTCACCACTTCAGTGTGGTTATATTATTCAACTATAATATAGTTAGGCTCATTTGCTATTGTTTGTATTCTATTTTGGGCCTTCACTTTCGCCCCATCCTGACTAGATGGTGTATACGTGTGTGTGTTATAAGTATAGGTATATATGTATATATAGTAGTAAAATGAGCACCCATGAACCCACCACCCAATTAAGAAAAAGTCTATCAGTGTGCTCCTCCTTCAGCCGCCTCCCAGCTTCCCATCCCTGGAAGTAACAACGATCTTGAATTTTGTTAATCATAGCCTGTTACTTCTTTTTTACTTTAGATTAAGGGGATACAAATGCATGCGTGTTACATGAGCATATTGTGTATTGGTGGGAATTGGGCTTCCCCAGATAGTGAACATTGTACCCAATAGGTAATTCTGAACCCTAACTCCCCTCTTCACTTCCCCCCTTTTAGTCTCCCCAGTGTCTGTTGTTTCCATCTTTATGTTTATTTTCTTTTAATCAGCTCACTGACTCTGCATAGCGTACTGTTTTTAAAAATAGTTTTATCACATATACATATGTCTGTAAACAATGTGTTTACATTTTTTTTTGTTTTTGTGCCTCATATAAATGGCATCATGTCTGTGGTCATTGGGACTCACATCATTCAATATTATGTTGCTAAATTCATTTGTGTATAGTTTTTGGGTAATATCCTATTGTAAAACTGTATGAAAACTTATTGATGTATTCTCAATAGACATGTAGGTTGTTTCTGTTTTTTTGCTATTAAAATAGTGCTGCTGATGAATTTTTTTGCATACAATCTCCTACATATGAGAATTTCTCTGTGTATAAGTTTTCAAAATTAGGCATGAATGTTGAATTATTGCCACCATCTTTGGCATCTGTTGAGTTGGACAGTATGTTTATCCTTTTTTGATTTATTAATTTGGAAAAGATACTAACTTGTATTCTAACACTGAGCTTTCCTTGCATTCATGGGATAATTCTACTTAAAGATGTATTACTTTAATGAGCTAGTGAAGTCTATTTATTAATATTTAGAATTTTTGCATTAGTATTCATAAATGAGACTAGTCTGTCAGTCTCATTATTTATGCTGGAACCATTAAAAAAAATTGGGAATCTTATTTTGCTATGCTCTCACTACAGTTTAAATAGTGTTAGAATTATTCATTTCCTCTTTTTTTTTTTTTTTTGGTCAGAGTCCCACTCTGTCGCCCAGGCTAGAGTGCAGTGGCACTCTCACGACCACCACAGCCTTTACCTGCTGGGCTCGGGTGATCCTTCCACCTCAGCCTTCCAAGTAGCTGGACCCACAGGCATGTGCCACCATGCCCAACTAATTTTTTTATTTATTGTAGGGACAAGGTGTCATCAAGTTTCTCAGGGTGGTCTCAAACCCCTGTACTCAGGCAATCCTCTCACCTCCAAAGTGATGGAATTACAGGTGTGAGCTGCCATGCCCAGCAGAATTATTCATTTCTAAAAGATTTGAAAGGATTTGCCCATGACATATTTGAGTTCGGTGTTTTGTGACAGTTAGCTCTTTGCTGAGTGCTTGGCTTAATTAGGTAAAAGTGATGAAGGATTATGTAGAAAATATATGTAACATAATTGGTAGAGTTGATTTTGTTATCTAAAAATGAAATTATATTTCATTTTTTCCATCATAGAATAAGTTTTCTTTTTAAGCACCATAGAATATTTTAAAGAATGAACACTTTACCAACAACAAACCTGAAAAATGTATAAAATAGAAGTTAATAGATCAAGTTATTTAAACATTGTGCAGTAAAACCAGAACTTATGAACAAGAAGAAATTAGAACAAACTGTCCTAATCAGTTATTAGGTCAGAGACAAAACAGAATTGCTGACTGACTATAAAATAGTAATATGTATATAAACATGGATATAAAAATCTCTGAAATGTGACTAAAAGTGTATTTAGAGGAAATTTTATGGCTTTTTAGGCTTTAATTGCCAAATAGGAAAATAAATGAGTAAATCATTCAACCTCAAGAATGTAGGAAGAAACGCTTTTTTAGTGTAGCTTCCTCCAAAACAGAACATGTAGGAATTTATTTAGGAATGTGTAGGGATTTATTTAGAAATGTGGTTGCAGCGGCAGAGTGAAGGACAAGGGCTTTGAAACAAAGGAGGGAGAGTCAATACAAGGATGTATTGTCAGGCCCTACCCTCAACAGACACTGTCTTGCAGGGTCTTTGAGGAGCTTTGGAGTCTCAAGGCTCCCCACCTAGGAGATTAAAGGGGAAAATATTTATCCACTGGCTTCTGTCCCCTGCTGGTCAAGGGTGGCATTACAGATGTTAACTTTCCTGTACTTTCCAGAAGTACCCAGGTGTCCCACATAGGATGCCAGTGATATCCCAGCACAGGAACTAGGCATATGTGATGTAGGTCGTTGCAGAGGCATTGGTAGGGTTGCAGCTTCACAAAGCTGATCAAAGCCTCAGTAGAACTGGACTAAGGGTGGGACAAGAGGAGTTGGAGTGGTGCTTAAACTGACCCTTACAGAGCTAAAGGAACAAACTAAGAAATAATTAGTGAATTAAAAACAAACAGAAAAAATCATATTGTTAAATAAGTAGGAAAGCTGGTTCTTTGAAAATAAAAGAAAACCACATTAAAATAGATAAACCACTGCTCAGGCTAATTGTATTAGTCTGTTTGGACTGCTGTTACAAAATGCCATAGACTGGAACTTAAACAACAGATATTTGTTTCTCACAGTTCTAGAGACCAGAAGTCCAAGATCAAGGTGCTGGCTGATTTTTGTTCCATCCAGGGCTCTCTTCCTGGCTTACAGATGGCAGCCTTCTCATTGTGTCCTCACAGGGTGGAGAAGGGGAGGGTGAGTGGGTGTGAGTGTATGCTCAGGTGTTTTTTTCTCTTCTTGCAAAGGCACCAGCCCTGTTGGTGAGGTCTACCCTTAGGACCTCATTTAACCTTACTACCTCCTCATAGGTCCTGTCTTCAAATACAGTTACATTGGGGGGTTAGGGCTTTAACATGTGAATTTTGGGGGGACATAAACATTTAGTCCATATTACTAACCCTGCGGAAAAAGTCTAGAACATACATACATTTAAAAGAAGAAGTGGGAAAAGCAAAGTAGCTCCATATATGAAAAGGAATTGAAAATAAATTTGGACCAGTGTTTTCTACTACCCTATAAGAGTAAAGTCGAAATCCTAGAAGAAATTGATGCTATTTTAGGAAATTTAAAAATTTCAAGATTTTAGGAGTAGTAAAAATCAGAAAACAGGATAGGTGTGGTGGCTCACGCCTGTAATCCCAACACTTTAGGAAAAAGAAAATAACTGATCCATGTGTTTTTTAATACAATGAACAAAAGGTGCTGAGTCATGGAACTCTAGAACCTATAGTGATCCTAGTAGTGTCTTATCTCTTGAACTGAATTATTGTTATAGGACTCTTTGTTTTGTTATTCTGTAGGCTCTGCATACAGTTTATATATACCCTTTAGTATGTATGATATGTGTCAGAATTGTAAAATCCTAGGGTTCCTGGCAGTGAGTATCAATGTCATAGCCAGAAGGAGTCCTAAGCACTGAGCCAGATCATTCTCTTCTTCCTGTGGCAGCTCCTGTTTGCACTCTATTTGAATGCAGGCTGCCTGTGTTTTGCATCTTCTATGAGGGGCTGTATTGCTTCTGGTGGGGAGTGACTTGTCTCACGTTTGTCTCTCTGTTTCTTCTCAGCTCCAGCCCTTCTCTGAGAGGGATACTAGGTGACAGCAGCCATGCTCCTGACAGCCTGGCCTCAGGTGAGCTGTGGGTCCTTCAACTCTACCTCTGGACTGTTTCAGATTGAGGAGAATTAATAAGAGGAGCTGGTGAGCCTTGGGATGAAAGCTGCTTCTGCCTGCTGGACTGGAACTTATGGGAAAGAGGAAGCATGAAGGGAGGATGGCAGACCCCAGGACAGTGGCAGGAGATAGCCGGAGAGTGAGCCCAGAAAGCAGGAGGGTCATCTTGTGCACATTGAGGTTTTCTGCTCCTCTCTAGAGGGCTCTAGGTGAATGGGGATGTGGAAGCTGCTCATGTAGGCTGCTCTGTACTTGGATGTGAATGGAGGAGAATCACAGAGGACTGGGATTCTCTGTGTGGGGATGTAAGGAAGAGGAGTAGCATGACCAGATCAAAGAGAAGAATGACTGAGCCTCTAATTCGGGGAGAAGGGGAACATACAGGGAGTGGAGTCGAGAGGGGAACAACAGGGTGTCTTGTGGGACAAAGTGTCTCATTGTCCTTGTGAGGCTTTCAGGCTTGGGGTGTAGTGACTCTCTGATAAGACCTCTGCACCTTCTCCCCCAGAAAAATAAGCCTGCAAACCAAATTTTCCATACACTTTCAGGGACTTCATGGACCCCCTGAAGCTCATCCATGGACCTCCATGGACTACAGGTTGGGAACAATCATAGTCACAGTAACACCAGTAACATTGAGTTACTATGCTGCAGGCCTTGTACTAAGTCCTTTGCATGATCATTCAGTCCTGACAGCTGCCCTCGGTGATAGGTGATGTGTTGTACTCAGAATTTCTACCAAAAAAGAAGTGAAGGCAAAGGGGAGTAGAGTAATATGCCTAAAGTCACAAAGTTACTGATTGTGTGGTTTGGAACTGCTCAGCCATAAGATAACTGTGGAACCGGTGACATTAACTTGGTCAGATTTGTGATGTGTATGGAAGAGTTTTTAGGGAAGAATCAAAAGTAAGGTGACCACTTCAGGAAGAATCCCACTGGTCCAGGTGACATGGGCATCATCAAGGCAAGTAACTGTTAAAAGAGAAGGGATCCAATTCAAGTAAGCATTCAAGTAATGCTTAAGACATAAAAATCTTTAGGACACAGACAGTCAAAGGATTAGGGGAGGGGATAAGGGAGAGGTGGGAGTCGAGAAAGATTCCAAGTTTCTAGCTGAGGTTTCCTGTGTGTATGGTGCTGACACCAGCTGAGGAATGAGCTTTGGAGGATATGCCAACTTACTGGGGAAAAGAGTAGTGGTAGCATGCAGTGAAGGCATTTAATTTTATGCAGAGAAGTTGCTCGTTCTATTCCAAGTCACACAGAGAAGACTTTTAGAGACACCCAAAGGTTGGGGGCCAGGCATGGTGACTCATGCCTGTAATCCCAGCACTTTGGGAAGCTGAGGAGAAAGGATTACTGGAGCTCAGGAGTTCAAGACCAGTCTGGGCAACAGAGTGAGACCTCGTCTCTACAAAAAAATAAAAAAATTAGTTTGATGGCACACACCTGTAGTCCAAGCTACTTGAGAGTCTGAGGCAGAAGGACACCTGAGCCCAGGAGGTAGAGGCTGCAGTGAGTTGTGATTGTGCACTACACTTCAGCTTGGGCAACAGAGACCCTGGAACACCTAAAAGTTCAACTAGATTTGTTGATGAGTTGATAGGTGCAGGTCAGTGGAATCAAGGAAAACAGATATTTGCAGAGGAGTTGGGAGGCAAATCTCTGCCAGTGAGATCCCATGGTTGTTATAGAAGGCAGGTGGGCAGAGAGAGTACTACAACTGCCCAGGAGAGAGGAGTTGGCCCTGAGTGGCAGAGCCCTTGCTAACCACACAGCTTAGCGATGCAAAAGGGAGAAGCCAAAAGGGCTACTCAGTAGCCGACCAGTGGGAAGACTGGTATTTCCCAAATCTTGGAGAAACAGTGAAGTCTTGGGAAAAGTTAAGAAGGATGAGGCTTGAATGGGAGAGGGTAACAGAGTGCTGGGTTTCCAGCCTGGGCAGCACTAAGCTTCCTTGGTTGGAGATGCTCAAGCAGAGGCTACACAGCCCCTTGTTGGGAGTCTCTGATGGGAATCAGGTGGCAAATGAGGGCTGGATGAAATGGAAGCTATGACTATTTTGAGGGGGATGGCTTGAGGCATGAGGATGAGGGTGAGATGTGGGGAGCAGAACATGGCTGAAGTTGCAGGGGGGAGTGCTAAGACCTCAAGGGAATGATGTGGGAACTGCTGGTGGATCAGTCCTGAGTCTCTAGTGGGGAGTGGCCTATCTAAAAGTGGGGTTGCTTGAGGGAATTGGCTTATGGGAAAAAAAGTTTATCTTTCAGCCTGGCTTGTGTTATCTAGTGTAAAAAGTGGCATGAGGTTTTTCTGCAGTGGGTGAAATGGGATATTCCATGGTTTACTTTCCTGGTGCTTTTTCTTAAATCTTTCCCTTGTCATTAATTTTGTGCTTTCACAAGTTCCCTCCCCAAACCCTTATACTGCCCTCTGCCCCTCACTTAGGGCCTGAGCCATGGAATTGGCCCTAGGGCAGCAGGAACCTGTTGTTTCAGAAGTTGGTGACCTTTGAGGATGTTGCTGTATACTTCACCCAGACAGAATGGGATGGCCTATCCCCTGCACAGAGGACCCTGTACAGGGATGTGATGCTGGAGAATTATGGGAATGTGGCCTCCCTGGGTAAGACCTCTCTTCCCCTGGCACCCAGATTTAGCCATTTAGGGTTTTTGGCTTCTTTCTCCCTTACAGGTTGCAGGTGGGGTCTCTGGTAATCTTTTACTAAGTGGGAATCCCAGGGCTGTTCCTAACCTTCTAGACTTAAGAGTTGCTGGGAACAGCAAACCCCAAGCACTTTGTGGGCCTATATAGGAACTTGCTGGAACGGGTGTTCACTTTTGATTCACCCCATGGAAGCTGTGTTTAGACACAATGTGGAATATGATAACTTCCTGTTCCACAGCAGTATCTTCAGGTCTGCCATCACCTTACCTGTGTCATGAGACTATTCAAGGATCTCAGTGGACTCAATATTTCAGACCAAGGTCAAAAGTAATAGCCTTTGGGGCACAATCTCTCTGTTTACCCTCCATGAGGTCTTTTGGACCCATAGTCTGGGCCCTTCCCAAGCTCTCTTACACCTTCCCAAGCCCTCACCCCCAGCTTCCCTTCCAAAGCTCCCCAACCTTTCCCAAGCCCCCCAACACTTTGCGTAGTCCTTAGACTTGGGACCCCCTGGGCCTCTTTCCTTTCCATTGCCAAGACAATATGAGAAAAGGCTTAGGAACTTATCTGTGGGAGATTACCCATCTGTCCTGATTACTCCTCCCATAGGATTTCCACTTCTCAAGCCTGCTGTGATCTTGCAACTAGAGGGAGGAGGTGAACTGGGGGGCCCATCTCCACTGGCTGTTGGAACACGAACAGACTCCCAGGACCTCTGGAATGGTAAGGGAGACACCTGTTGCCCATTCTGTTGGAAAGTTTAGGAAGAAAGCCAACTTTAACAATCTGTAAATATCCCACATTTATTGACCAACCATACAGAGTAAAGTTTGAGTAACTTTTGAAGTTTTATAGAAGTAGGTATAGTCCTGTTTTTGAAGTGTTCTGTGTCTAATACTGAGAGCAGATATTTTTGCAAATGCCTCATTCTAACTCTTTTCAATTCTAATTTTGGAATTTTGCCTTTCTCAGACAAAACTAATGGATTCAGTAATCTTTTGGGTCCTTGCCATTTTCTAAGCATTGTTTACTTAACGTGGAGAGTCCAGAGCTAACAGCCTTTTTACATTGAAAGGCAGAGGTGGTTAAGAGCAAAGTCTTTAGGGTAGATTTTCCTGAGGTCCAGTCTCAACTGTACTACTTCCTAGTTGAATGATTTTGAGTGGGTTAATTATTTGAATTATCTAAAATTTGGTATTCTCATCTCTGAAAATAAGATACTAATAATAAAAGGTTATAGTACTGGTCTTATGAGTTAAGGATTGAATGACATAACACATCAAGTGCCTAACCTATAATATGTGCTCAATTAAATGTTTTTATTTTGGTGGGGGACAGCTGTACATAGCAGAAGTAAGTGGAATGGAGGAAGTATGCTCAATTCATGCTTCTTAAATGTTGATGTGTAAATGAATCACCTGAGGTCTTAACAGATATGCAGTAAGTCTGGGGCAGGGCCACGTTCCCAGTGATGCCAGTGCTTCTGGGTGTCAGGTCAAACTTGAAGTAGCTTCAAGATATCAGGAGGTGAATGAATTGGTGGTCTTTCAAAAAAGTACTTTAGTGATACATATCAAGAACCTTAAAAAAGTGTGTACTTGGTAGCCTGTATAGTCCCTTCAAGGACTATACCCTAATAAAGTAATCAGAGTTACAGACAAAGACGTATGTGCATAGAATTTCATCATAATTTAATTTAATTTAATTTATTTATTTAGTTTTCTTTTTCTTTTTTTTTGTGTTGGAGTCTCACTCTGTTGCCCAGACTGGAGTGCAGTGGCTGCTCCCGGACACTGCAGCCTCGACCTGCTGGGCTCCAGCAATCCTTCTGCCTCAGCCTTCCAAGTAGCCGGAATTACAGGCATGTGCTACCATGCCTGGCTGATTTTTTTACTTTATTGTAGAGATGAGGTCTCGCCAAGTTGCCCAGGCAGGTCTCGAACCCGTGAGCTCAGGCAATCCACTCACCTCAGCCTCCCAAGACGCGGAATTACAGGCTGAGCCACCGAGCCCGGGTTATTTATTTAGTTTTCAATAGTGATGAGGTCTCTCTATGTTGGCCAGGCTGGTCTTGAACTCCTGGTCTCAAGTGATCTTCTTGCCTCAGCCTCCCAAGCTGCTGGGATTATAGGCGTGAGCCACTGTGCCCGGCTACTATTTTATATAACAAGATATTGGAAATGATATGAATTTTCACTCTAAGAAGAATGGTTTAATTCAGGTACCTCTGCAGGATGGAATACTATTATCACAATTAAAAATATATTTTTACATTATATCTAAAGATATTGAAAAATGATCATGAATGTTAAAAAAGTTTTCAGTTTTGAAAAAAATGTACTTGTTTTTAGAAAACTGATTGAAAGCAAAATGATTGGGGAATAAGATACATTAGATTAGTAGGACACTAGACAGCCGCCCCATCCTCGATTTTACTTTCCATGGTTTCTTTTACCTGAGGTAAACATTGGACCAAAATGATAGTTTGAGAGAGAGACCACATTCATACTTTTATTACAGTATATTGTTATAATTGTTCTGTTTTATTTCTAGTTATTGTTCATCTCAGAATGTGCCTAATATATAAATTTAACTTTATCACAGGTATATATGTGTGGAAAAAAACATAGTATATATAGAGTTCAGTACTAATTGAGGCTTCAGGTATCCACCAGGGGTCTTGGAACATATCCCTTGAGGGTAAAGGGAAGACTACTGTAGTACTATCATTATTTTTAGGTAGTTATATTTCAGGAATTGTTAACTTTCTTCTTTGTAAATTTCTTTTTTTTTTTTCTTTTAACAGAGCCTTAGTTTGTCACTCATGCTGGAGTGCAGTGGCACAATCATGGCTCACTGTATCTTCGACCTCTTGGGCTCGGGTGGTCCTTCCACCTCAGCCTCCCAAGTAGTTGGGACTACAGGCATGTGCCACCACACCCAGTTAATATTTCGGCTTTTTTTTTTTTTTTTTTTGAGTCATGGTCTCACTCTTGCGTAGGCTGGAGTGCAGTGGCCTGATCTTGGCTCACCATAGCCTTGAACTCTGAGGCTCAAGTGATCCACCTGCCTCAGCCTCTTGAGTAGCTGGGACTATGGGTATGTACCACCATGCCTGGCTAATTTTTTGATTTTTTTTTTTGTAGCGACAAGATCTTGTTTTGTTTCCTAGGCCGGTCTCAAACTCCTGGCCTCAAGCAATCCTCCTGCCTTGACTTTCCAAAGTGCTGGGATAACAGGTGTGAGCCACTGATCCCAGCCAATTTTTTGATTTATATAATAGAGATGAGGTCTCACTATGTTGCCCAGGTTAGTCTCGAACTCCTAGTCTCAAACAGTCCTCCCGTCTTGGTCTCCCAAAGTGCTGGGTTTACAGGCATGAGCCACTGTGCCCAGCCTCTTTTTAAGTTTTTGATACTAAAGATGTTTTGGTTAGTTTGAGCTATATAACAGAATGCCATAGACTAGATGGCTTATAAAAGACAGAAATTTATTTCTTGCACTTTTGGAGACTGGGAAAAGCGCAAGCACAACGTGCAGGCAGATTCTTTGTCTGGTCAGGGCCTGCTTCCTGGTTAATAGACAATCATCTTCTCACAGTTATCTTCTGACATGGTAGAAGGGAAAGGAACTCTCTGGAATCTCTTATAAGGGTATTAATCCCATCCATGAGGGTTCTACCATAGCCTCGCCTCCTAATACCATCATATTGGGGTTTAGAATTTCAACATATGAATTTCAGGGGCAGGGAATAAACATTCAGTCTATAGGAGCAGATGAGTATTTTTTTTATTTTTATTTTTATTTTTTTTTGAGTTGGAGTCTCTGTCGCCAGACTGGAGTGCAGTGGCTGCTTCCAGCCACTGCAGCCTCGACCTGCTGGGCTCTGGCGATCCTTCCACCTCAGCCTTCCCAGTAGCTGGAATTACAGGCATGCACTACCACACTCGGCTGATTTTTTGACTTATTGTAGAGATGAGGTCTTGCTGCCCAGGCGGGTCTCGAACACACGGGCTCAGGCAATTCACTCACCTCAGCCTCCCAAAGGCGCGGGATTACAGGCTGAGCCACCGAGCCCAGCTGAGTAATTTTTTTAACTGGGAAAAAAGAAACTATTATTTTGAAAATGCTTACTAGGGAAATCCAAGCAATTATGGTTTATTGAGGGAAATTATAATGAAATATTAGGGCAGGGGGCATATTAAATGTGATTGAAGAAAGAGGAAAAATGAAAAAGCAAAGCATTTTTGGGCCAAGTTTTTGAGAAATTTGGGAACAAATGTAGAGATCAATAGTTCTAAAGACCATTGGGATTGTAGAAAGAATTTTAGGGAATGATCAAGTTTAGGATTGGGGAAGAGGTGGAAGGAAAAGACAAGGTTAATATAGCAGTATTTGAAGGGGGGTGAGAAGAGAGCCTTTCTGAAATAGAGAAAAATGAAGTTGAAGGAGGAATTTTGGAAAGTGTAGAGTTGAAGTTTTAAGGAAAAATAAAAAAATTCATTCCCTTTTGCTTCTTGGTGCTGCTAACACGTCAGCTCCAGTGTTCCACATATTGTTGGAGTTTGTGCCTCTTCCTTCTTAAGCATTTCCCATTTTTAATAATAAGGAACTCAGTGTAATAGGGTCAACTAAGAAAATACTGCAGTGTGTAAAAAAGTATGGTTTGATGGAAAAAAAAAGATAATCTAGTGAACAAGACCTAGAATTTTATTGAACTGTAGTCACTTTTAACCTTCATGTCATTAGTTATGTCCTTTACAATGGCCTTGCCTTATGCAGAGTTAGACTGGTGATCATTTTATTTTATTTTTTTTGAGTTGGAGTCTCACTCAGTCGCCCAGACTGGAGTGCAGTGGCTGCTCCCGGCCACCGCAGCCTCGACCTGCTGGGCTCCAGCGATCCTTCTGCCTCAGCCTTCCAAGTAGCTGGAACTACAGGCACGCGCTACCATGCCTGGCTAATTTTTGATTTATTGTAGAGATGAGGTCTCGCCAAGTTGCCCAGGCGGGTCTCTAACCCGTGGGCTCAGGCAATCCACTCACCTCAGCCTCCCAAAGGCGCAGGATTACAGGCTGAGCCACCGAGCCCGGCTAACTGGTGATCTTTTTAATCATTACTTTAAAATTTATAACACTAACACATACTCAAAACAATACAGAAAATATATAAAGTGGGAAAACAAGACTATCAAACTTTCTGTGTCAGTTTGTTCAGTTTCTTATGTATTCTTCCAGAAGTTTTCTAGATATGTACAAGTGTGTATATTTATATATATATATATGTGTGTGTGTGTGTGTATGTGTGTGTGTGTCTGCCCTTTTTATTTTTCTCTGCACGAGCGCAATCTACTCTATATACTGTTTCTCAACTTGTTCTTCCATTTATAGTGTATCTTGGGTATCTTTTTATGTCAGCATATATGGATTTATTTTATTATTTTACTAGCCACACATTACTCCATCTATATGGATAAACCCTAGATTCTTTGATCTAGTCTGGTGATTTTAAAGAACCCTCTGATTATTATGATCCTTTATAATACAGTTCTGTTTTTTTTTCTAAAATTGTTCTTACATGATATTTTTTGTTTCTATTTTTTATAGTAGATATTGATATTCAGACTGACAATAATTTGACAAAGGAAATGTGTGAAGAAAAAGGTAATACATTATTTGAACTTCAGAAGAACTTCTCCCAGGAAGCAGACTTTTCAGAACCCTATATTCTAGAGAAACAACAGAAAGTCCACTCAGGAGGAAATTCGAAGATGGGAAAGAGCAATGTTATTGTTGGAACAGTGAAAGATGAGATGAGCTCCATGGAGGAGTTTTTCTTAAGTCAAAGTCCAAACTTGTATCAGTGTCATACCGTCTCCACTGGAGAGCAGCCTCCTGAGTGTTCAGGACTGGGGAAACCCATCAGCTTTGACACAAAACTTGTTAAGCATGAAATAATAAATTCTGGGGAAATGCCTTTCAAATGTGAAGAATTAGTGGAAACCTTTAGGTGTAACTCTCAAGAAAGCTACACTGAGGAGAAGCCTTATCAATGTATAGAGTGTGGCAAAGCCTTCAGCCTTAATGAAAAATTAATTTGGCATCAAAAACTTCATGGTGGGGAGAAACCCTTCAAATGTGTGGAGTGCGGGAAAAGCTTTAGCTACAGTTCCCATTATATCACACATCAGACAATCCACAGTGGAGAGAAGCCCTATCAGTGTAAGGTGTGTGGGAAGGCCTTCAGCGTGAATGGGAGTCTAAGTAGGCATCAGAGAATCCATACGGGAGAGAAGCCGTATCAGTGCAAAGAGTGTGGAAATGGCTTCAGTTGTAGTTCTGCATATATTACACATCAGAGAGTCCACACTGGAGAGAAGCCTTATGAGTGTAATGACTGTGGGAAAGCTTTCAATGTTAATGCAAAATTAATTCAGCATCAGAGGATCCACACTGGAGAGAAACCTTATGAATGTAATGAATGTGGAAAAGGCTTCAGGTGCAGCTCCCAGCTTAGGCAGCATCAGAGTATCCACACTGGAGAAAAGCCTTATCTGTGTCAAGAGTGTGGAAAGGCCTTCAATAATAATGCAAAACTCATTCAGCATCAAAGAATCCACACAGGTGAGAAACCCTATGAGTGCACTGAATGTGGAAAAGCCTTCAGTGTCAAAGGGAAGTTAATCCAACATCAGAGAATTCACACCGGTGAAAAACCCTATGAGTGTAATGAATGTGGAAAAGCCTTTAGGTGTAACTCGCAGCTTCGGCAGCATCTGAGAATCCACACTGGGGAGAAGCCCTATGAGTGTAATGAGTGTGGAAAAGCCTTCAGTGTTAAAGCAAAGCTAATGCAGCATCAGAGAATTCACACTGGGGAGAAACCCTTTGAATGTAATGAGTGTGGGAAATGTTTTACTTCTAAAAGAAACCTACTTGATCATCACCGAATCCATACTGGAGAAAAACCCTACCAATGTAAGGAATGCGGAAAAGCCTTCAGTATTAATGCCAAACTAACTAGGCATCAGAGAATACACACTGGGGAGAAACCTTTCAAGTGTATGGAATGTGAGAAAGCATTCAGCTGTAGTTCTGACTATATTGTGCATCAGAGGATCCATACTGGAGAGAAACCGTTCAGATGTGTGGAATGTGGCAAGGGCTTCCATGTTAATGCCCATTTAGTTCGACATCAGAGAAGCCACACTGGGGAGAAACCATTCAGATGTATGGAGTGTGGCAAAGGCTTCAGCTTTAGTTCTGACTGTATTATACATCAGACGGTCCACACTTGGAAGAAGCCATATGTGTGTAATGTGTGTGGGAAAGCCTTCAGGTTTAGCTTCCAACTCAGTCAGCATCAGAGTGTCCATAGTGAAGGAAAATCCTAATAATGAGAAAGATGTAGAAAACTCTTAAGGTTCATGCCAAAATGGATCAAGTATCAGATTCACCTGGTGAAAAACTCTGAAAGTAAAGTGAATATGGAAACAGATCTTTTCTATTTTATTCAATTTTTAATCCAGAAAGGATGTCCAGTTAAGAAGAGACATCCAAAAATAAATAGCTTTGTTTTGTACCAACAGGAAAGAAAACATAGAGAAAGAAAATAATCCTATTCCCAGCAGCATCAAGAAAAGTAGATTTTCTAGGAATAAGCAATTATTATGGAGGACCTAGATGGAGAACATTAAGTCTTCACTGAGGGCCACTGAAGGAAACTTGAATAGTTGGGGCGAAAGAAACCTTGTTCTTGGATAGGAAAACCTACATTATAAAGATAATCTACCTAAGTTAATTTATTTCTTTAAAATTTTTGACAGTAAGCATGCATTGCTTATGAAAAGAGGAAGAATAATAAAGATTACTTTAAAAAAGGAAAAAAGATGTGAATAGATATTTTTATTTCCATAGAATAGAGAAAACCTTTTTAAGCATTAGATGAAAGCTAGAAACCAGCCTCAGGGAATGTATTGATCTATTAACTACTGAAACTAAATATTTCTGTGTTTTTGTTTTAAACAATCCCAAATAAGCTTAAAACATAAGAAGTGGAAATATCTTTGTAAAATTTGTGATATAAAAGTGTAATATCTAATACAAAGATATTTTACAAGTAACAGAGAAGTAATTTAATAAAAAACCAGCAAATGACACTGATACTAACAGGAAACTTTTAAAAAGATACTGAAGTGACTATTTAAGAAGAGATGTTTGATCTCAGTAGTACTCTAAGGAGTGAAAATTAGTAAGTTGTTTTTTTTTTTGGCATATCACATTGGTATATATGCATACCTGGAATACTATGCAGCTCTCAAAAATGACATTTACTCTAGATACCCTTTATGTGTCAGTCAACAAGATAGTATGAGGATTCCTGTTTTGTAGTAACTGGAACTCCTCCACAAACAAATGGCTCGTGAGGTCCTGTAGAAAGGTGGCTGCCTTGGTTTTCCAGTCTCGGTGCTCTTCAAGGACTCTGGTTCCATGAAAATCTTGGAAGTCACTTTCAAGGCAGTCTTTAGAAGAGACTCTTACCCCTTAAAAAAAAAATTCTAAGCAATAAAAAGCAGTCAAACTGTTAGAAAGCCGAAGAAGAACAGGTCCAGGTATAATGGATAGAAGCGACCAAAAAACACAGGCAAGACAGGGACAAGAGAACTTTTCCACCCTACAAGTGCTACACACTCCTCATCATGCCCCCTCTCTGAACTCTTGTAAACACATGCTATCTCTGGCTCCCAGGCTTCTTAGAAACTAGTCTGCATTTAGTTTAGAATGAGGTCCAAGACCACCAGAGGTTTTCTGAATATGGGACAATTATTTAAGATACGTGGGCTGGAAACATCACCGTTCTTTCAGATTCTCATGCTCTTCGTCTGGCATTCCACAGATAGAAACAGAAGAAAAAGTAATCACTGGTAAATGAGACTTGCACCACCCAGAAACTCTCATCTCCTCACAAGTGCAGGCCCAGAGTTACCCAAATGTCCTGAAAGACATGAATGAATGAATGGGGTTGCTTAGAGTGACAATGAGTGGTAGGGAGGGTGGAGAACTGAAGAATGCATGCCCTACTTAAAGAGGGCAGCCCCTACTCAACTATAGCAAATTGTGTTTAGGCAGGAAAGCAGGTCTGGTAATGCCAAATAATCCGAGTTAATATATTATATATACTGGATGTTTGAAAATCTCTCCATGTTGATTTTAGCAGAAATCCATCTGTAGGTTGTGGTTTTCTTTAGTAAATTAAGGAGAAAGAATCTGGAAACCAGGAAGAGAAATGAGCACAGAGGAAAGAGGGTTATCACAGAGTTATTTCAGTATCACCAGTAAAGGAAAACTACTCAACACCTCTAACACCAAACGTGTGGGTTTTTCATACAAAACAACTCTAATTCTGTGTGGTGCCACCTGGGTGTCCTACAGTTTAATTCAATTCTGACACTATCGGAGTTAGCAAAGACCCCCACAGATTAAGGGCTCAGTTCCATAAGGCTGCCCCTCCCCCCATTTCAGACACCAATACAAGTAATAGGCCTCCAGGTTATCCACACTTCTGTGCAATTTGGCTACATGTTGGGGGTTCCTATGACCCCCTTCAGATTCAGTAATTTGATATAACGGCTCACAGAACTCAAGGAAACACATTACAAATTTATCGTAGAGGATATATGTCATAAAGGATACAAATAAACAGCCAGATGAAGAGCTACCTAGGATGAGGTCTGGAGGGTCCCAAACAGGAACTTTTCATCCCTGTGGAGTTGGGGGTGTCCCATCTTCCTGGCACATGGATGTGTTAGCCAACTCAGAAGCACTCTGAACCCCATCGTTATGGTTTTTATGGAGATTTCATTATGTACCCACAATTGATTAAATCATTGGCCATTGTCGAGTAACTAGCCTCTCTCCCCAGATTTTAGGGGATGGAGCTGAAAGTTCCAACCCTCTAAGTACCTGGTTGGTTCCTCTGGCAACCAGCCCCCATCCTGAAGTTACCTAGGGGCCCACCAAGAATCTCATTATCATACACTCGAGTGTGGTTCAAAACTGCTTATTTTGACTAAGGAAAGATACTCCTCACACTCTGGTGGTGTCAGAATTGGATTATACTGTAGGATACCCAGTTGCATCCATACAGAATTAAGAGAGTTGTTTTGTATGTAAAACCCACCAGCAGAAATTCACTTCTTATGGTTCACCTTTTTCTTTTATCTGCTTGCTGTGGTTTGTTTTTTGTTTGTTTTTTGTACAGGGTGTTAGTTAAGATAAAATGAAAACCTAGCAAAATGTAAGTACTCCAAATAAATGAACACAGCCACAAAGATTGAAAGATGCAGAGTATCAATGTTTTTCTCTCATGTAGCTGCCTTTGTTTTTTTCTGAAATGTCTTCTTTTAAAAAGTTGTGTGGTACAATACACACAACATAAAATTTACCATTTCCTAGCCTGGGCAACATAGCAACATCTTGTGTCTACAAAAAAAAAAAAAAAAAAGCCAAGGCATGGTGGTTGTGCCAGTAGTGCCAGCTACTTGCTACTTGGGATGCTGAGGTGAAAGGAAGGAAAGAGGGACGTAAGTTGGCAAAGCCCTCATGTCCTAAAAATATACAAGTTTGGCAAAGCCCTTGTGTTTCTGGCCTGATTCCAACAGGAGCTTGGCCAATGTTTTCTTCTCTCCATGTTTGCCCCTGGGAATGTTGATTTAGTAGAATTCAGGTGGGATGTAGCCTGCTTCGATAATAATTTTACTCAGAACTTCAAAGAACACAAATGTTAATAGTTTTGCTTTGACTTACAGAAAATAAAGATGATAGTGCTATAGTAAGCTTGCCAGGGAAAGTCCTGAAGATTAACGTTTTCCCAGCTGATGCTAGCATTAAAATATCTCTTGTTTATGTAGTTTTGCTCTATATAAGAAAATTTACTTTTTTTGATTTATTGTAGAGATGAGGTCTCACCAAGTTGCCCAGGCGGGTCTCGAACCCGCGGACTCAGGCAATCCACTCACCTCAGCCTCCCAAGGCGCGGGAGGGTGTGGTAGGGTGCGCCTGTAATTCCAGCTACTTGAAAGGCTGAGGCGGAAGGATCGCCGGAGCCCAGCAGGTCGAGGCTGCGGTGGCCGGGAGCCGGGAGCGGCCACTGCGCTCCAGTCTGGGCAACAGACTGAGACTCCAACTCAAAAAAAAAAAAGAAAACATGCTGTAAGAATAAACTTGCTCTCACCTATTGAGGTGAGAGACCTCCCGCTGTTCTTTGTCTTTCTTTTCTCATTCCCTCCCCCCACCTCAGGCCCTGCTCTACAGAGGTGTGAAAGGATCGCCTGAGCCCAGGAGGTCAAGGCTGTGGTGAGCCGTGATTGTGCCGCTGTACTCCAGCCTGGGTGACAGACTGAGACCCTGACTCAAAAAAATAAAAATAAAAAAACAAAACAACCAAAAACCAAAACTGTCACTGAGCCAGGGAGGAAGGGACAGGACAAGGGCAAGTTAAAATACCACAAAGCTCTCCCACCAGGTTTCAGTTACTTTTTTAAGCTTTCAGTTGGTTGCTGAAATTTTTGACTATTTTCCAGAGTCCTATGAAGTTGCTTCTGATGGTATTTTATCAGCTTTTTTGATGTTTCTGTTGAGAGACAGGACCTTGGAGTCCTCTACCCTGCCATTTTCATCGATATCACCAGCTTTCATGATTTTTAAACATAGGCAACTAATTCAAAAAAAATTTTTTTCAAAAAGGCTGACTACACCTGTAGGTCACCAACTTGCAATTTGTCTTTACACCAAATTTCAAATTGCAAAACTACAGAAAATACTTAGATTTGGTCTCAAAAGCCTCAGAAGCCACCGGAAGCAGCAATGGTGACTCTGAATTCACTGCCCCGAAGGCATCCCAAGTTTCTCTCTTTGCTCAAGGCAGTGCCCTGAAGGAAACCACATCTGGCTTCTCCATATTGTCTAGATACAGTCACTCATCTGGTCTTGTTTCCTTTTACAAACTTCATGAAGCACCCTCAAAAAGTTTAAATTTAAAGTATTCATTTGATATTGTATTAGCTATGTAATGCAGCAGAAAAAAAATTACCCCCAAATTTCGTGGCTTAAAATAACAAAGATTTTGGTTTTTGTTTTTGCTTTTGAGACAGGGTGTCACTGTGTCAGGCCGGAGTGCAGTGACATGAGCATAGTTCACTGCAACCTTGACCTCCAGTGCTCATGCGATCTCCCATCTTGGCTTCCCAAATGGCTGGGACTACAAGCATGAGCCACCTTGTCTGGCCTACCAGTAGACATTTATTAGCTCACACAGAGTCTGTGGGTCAGGAATTCCAGAGCTGCTTAGCTATGGATGTTTCTGGCTCAGGATCTCTCATGAGTTTGTGGTCATCTGAAGGTTTATCTGGGATTTCAAAGATCACTAGCTTGTGTGGTGTTGGTTGTTGCCAGGATGCCTAAGTTCCTCCCCATGTGAGCTTCTCCATGGGCAACTTGAGTATCCTCATGACATAATAGCTGGCTTCCACCAAAGTGAACATTCAAGATGAAAGCCACAATATCTTGGAAGTCACTTACCATTTCCAAAATATCCTCTTGGTTACCCAAGTCAGCCCTATTCAGTGTATAAGGGACAACACAAGGGCATGAATACCAGGCAGCAGGTATCATTGAGAGTCATCTGGGAGGCTGGCCACCAGGAAAATCTGTCTGTGTGTGTGTGTGTGTGTCAGAGTCTCACTCTGTCACTCAGACTAGAGTGCAGTGACACAAGCAAAGCTCACTGCAACCTCGATCTCCTGGGCTCAAGCAATCCTCCAGCTTCAGCCTCCTGAGCAGCTGGGACTGAAGGCATATGCTACCATGCCTGGCTAATTTTTGGGTTTT